GCGGGCGAGCCCTCCGCAAGGGAGAGTGGCGGCCCTTGGGGCAGGAGGAGGTGTGGGGAAGGGAAAGGGCGACGGAGGCTCAAGGGGGGAGGCCTCGAGCTGGAATCGGCGATGCTTTGCCGGTACATCGCCGATGGATCGCCGATAGGCCCCCGATAGCCAATCCCCACGCTCCTGGGCGGGGTGGGGCTGTCCGGCCCCTATTGGCGATCAGTGGGCGATTGGGGGTCGATGCGTCTCCTCCTGGGCCTAGCTCCCCGAGCGTTGACCCTCATCTAGGGATCGTGATGACGAGCTCCAAGTGGGCCAGGCGAGAGAAAGGGGGACGCGCGTGAGGTCCCCGAATGTTCCTGGAGGTCTCCGTGGAAGTCCCTGGAGATCTCAGGGGGACTCCAGAAGGCTCTGGAAGCATCCAGGGGCAAACATAAGCCCAACAGCGACCGCACGCCTCGATCCTCGACTTCGAAGGAAGGCTGAGGAGAAGGTGAGTGCGTGTGTGTGTGCGTGTGCGTGTGCGTGTGCGTGTGCGTGTGCGTGTGCGTGTGTGTGTGTGTGTGTATGTGTGTGTGTGTGTGTGCGTGTGCGTGTGTGTGCGTGTGCGTTTGTTTGTTTGTTTGCCTGCTTGCTTGCTTGCTTGCTTGCTTGCTTGTTTGTTTGTTTGTTTGTTTGTTTGTGTGCGCGCGTGTGTCCGCAGCCTTTTGTTTCAAACCTCGGCTCAAGTTGCCTCAACCTTGGCTCAAACCTCTCTGGGTCAAACCGCGTGCCGCCATGAAGTCATTCTCCTGTCTTGACGCTCACTTCCACTTCGTCGTTTCTTCCTTTCCTTCTCGTGGCCCGCGTCGTGGGCGTGGCCGCAAGCCGTCGTCGCTCCTCCGCCAAGGTGGCCAAGCAAACGGTCGGCGTCAACATCGCCGGCTTCGGGCGCACGGCACCCGCGCCTGCCGGCCGCTGGGGCGAAGAACCCGTGGAGGCCTACTGCAACGCGACGGAGAGGGTGGATATGAATGTCCGGGAACTCCTGGGCCAGGCGCTGCAGAAGGCCACCCGGTTTGTCAAAGCCCGCACCGCCGCCCCCGACGCTGAGGTGCGCTTCATCATGTCGAAATTCTTCCACGAGTCTGGCTTCCGTCTCCGCGGGCTCCACCAGGGCCGCCTGAAGGCCATCCAACTGCTCGAGCGCACTGTGCCGCAGGACTTTCAGAGCACGCTCCTCGGGCAGCTGAACGCCAAAGCGGCCCGCCTGAGGATCAGTGCCGCCAGCCTCGCCACCGCCACCCGCGAGAAGGCGTGCGACCAGTTCGCCCAGATCACGGCCAACGTCAACGGTTAGGGCAACAAGCTCGGAACAATTGGCACCGAGCGGCCGGCAGGATGCGGCCGCCTGCAGCCTGCCAGCCAGTGCCAGCCCCAACCATCGCCTCTCAGGCACATCCCCTTCGCTCCGCCCACCGCCTCTTCCGGGCATGGGCGCGCTGGAGCCCCGATCTCTGCCACCCGCGCTGGGCGAAGGGGCCCAATTGCACTTCGCCTGCCCTTCTCATGCTCCGTCCATTGCCTCCTCCAGCCAAGGGCGCGCGGAGGTGAGTACAGCGTGCGTGATTCATGTATGATGGCGCTACACGCGCATTCCATACGAGGCTTCGTCTATTATGTCACTCCCCGCATGCTGGCTCTTCCGCCTGGTATTGCGCAGTCGTTCCACCTTGCTATGATACGAGGCTTCGCCTCATGTGTCACTCCCTGCATATATCACTACTGCGCATTCGATGCGCGCGGTCCAGTCTTTTGTGCACGTCATCCCCACCATCATATGAGGCCTCGCCACTTTTGTCACTGCCTGCTCGCTTACACTTGCGCTTGGTTTTGTGCAGCTTGTGACGGAGGTCCCTGCGTTGATCGATATGCACTCTTGTTTTGATGGTGGCTGGTGGGCGATGGGGTTGCGATGCACTACGCCCCCTGTGTTTCAGGCTCCGTTCGCTGCCTCTTACAGCCCAGTGCGCCCCGAAGGAAGTACAGCGAGCATGAATCGGAACTGATGCGCATGAATCGTCGACGAGTCCCCTCCTCCTTGGCTGGTCGTGTCGTCCCCTCTTCCCCCCGCCGTTCCCCCTCTCCGCCCGGGGGCTGGCAGGTCGGAGCCTCATGTCGCCCAGCGGAGTCCCTTAGGTATCCCCCCTACAAAGGCTCAGCTTCCTTACCTGGGACACCGCCCGGCAGGGCGGTACACATAAAGTCAGCCGCGCCGGATGCCAGATGCAGTGCGAGCGCGCCTTCTCGCCCGCCCTCCTCCTCGCCCTTGTCCTGTCGGCTGTGTTGTCCCCAGTTCCCCTCTTGAGCAGGGACCGACCGTCCCGGCATTCCTATAGTCCTACCACGAAATGTTCTTAGAACCCAAAAATGTTCTACGAACAAACGCAATGTTCTTAGAACATAGACCCGATGTGATAAAACAGGACAGTCCCAGCCAGACATGTTCTAAGGCTCCTAGAACATTGTTTGGTAGGACTACAGGCGGGCCAGGACGCTTCGCCACTGCTTGACTCTCTTCCCCCCGCTGCCCCTCCGCCCACCGCGCGCCGCCCGGCTGGGCGGGCTGCACACTCTTCCGCGCCTCCCTGCGTGGCCAGGGGCCATCCGCCGCCCCAGCACGCCGCGGGGCAGGGCGGCAGCCGAGAATTTCTTGCCGTGCCTCCGCCACCCGGCAGGGCGGCACGCACGAACTCTGCCGTCGCCTGTGCCCTCGGCGGGGGGCATGTCCAGGAGGAGGAGGAGGAGGAGGAGGAGGAGGAGGAGGAGGAGGAGGAGGAGGAGGATAATGACGACCTTCTGCCGTGCCTCCTCTCCCCCCTCCTCCTCGCTCCTCCTCGTGTCGTGCCGCGCCGCCCCCTCCTCGCCCCGCCGTCCCCTCCCTCCGGAGGCTCGGCCTCTCCTCCCGCTGTCGCGCTGCCCGCCTGGCTCGTCTCTGGCCGCTCGGCGGCCCCCTTCCTCCCTCCCCCCTGCCCTTGTGCCGCTTCTGCCTCCTGTCCTCCTCCCTCGCCTCCTCCTCGGCTGGCTCCTCCCCTCTTCGTGTCTTGCCTTGCCCCCGTGTTGTGGGAGGAGGAGGAGAAGGAGGAGGAGGAGGCTCCTCCCCTCTTCGCGTCTTGCCTTGCCCTCGTGCTGCGTGGTGCCTCCTGTTTCCCCTCGGCGCCCCCGCCCCCGTCGGTCGGCCCTCGCGCCCGTCCGTCTGCCTCCCTCGGCTGCCCGCTGCCGCTCCTCGCTCCTCGCCTGCCTCTCCTCCTTGCTTGGCCCTCCCTCGCGGGCCGAGGCGGGGCCAGGAGCTCACACGACGGACGGAGGGGCCGAAGCCGGCCAGAAGTAGGACGACGAGGGGCCGGCAAGAAAATAGGGGAACCAAAAGTGGCACAAGCATAAAAACTCGGAGGTCCGCGCGGATTTCTCGGATCGGCGCTGGGGCCCCCCGGCGGCGCCTCCGGCGCCTCCCCTGGCGCGCTCCGCGCGCCAGGGAGGGGGGGCCAGCGCCGATCCGAGAAATCCGCACGGACCTCCGAGTTGTTATGTTTGTGCCACTTTTGGTTCCCCTAATGTAGTGGCTCCTGCCCGCGAGCACTCACAAAGCGCGTGCGTGCCATCCGCGCCCGGATGGCTCATGGCTGGCGGTGGCTGCGAGACCCAAACCGGTCTTTTGGAGGGCTCGGGCGCTTCTGTTCTAGTCCGCATGCGCGCGAAACGCTTTTGGACCTTCTCCGCCCTGTCGCCGCGCGCAGGGCCGCGATGCCAGCAGTGTGTGTGTGTGTGCGTGTGTGTGTGTGTGTGTGTGTGTGTGTGTGTGTGCGTGTGCGTGTGCGTGTGCGTGTGCGTGTGCGTGTGCGTGTGCGTGTGCGTTTGTGTGTGTGTGCTTGTGTGTGTGTGTGCGTCCCCCCTCTGCCGCGGCTTTGCTGTCAGCCTTCCGCTGTCCCACCACAATCTCTGTCGCCCCCAGCGGTTGTCTCGTTCCATCGCTTCTGCCTTGGCCAAACGGCCTGCCTGCCGCTCTCCCCCTCTGCCGGGGAGTGCCGCTGCACTTTCGCGCTGCGCCATTCTTGCTTCCCGCACTGCACGCCTCCACCTGTCGCCACTCCCCCACCTCCCCCCTCGCGCCCCACCGCGAGTGACCCAGCTGATCCCCGGTCCTCACGCCGCGTGATCTGCCTTAGCCGCGCGAGTTCTCCCGCCCGGCTGCCTACTCCGCGCCCCCCTCGCTTGGCCGCAACGCGCGCGCGTGTGCGTGCGCGCGTGTGTGTGTGTGTGTGTGTGTGTGTGTGTACGTGTGTGTGTGTGTGTGCGTGTGTGTGTGTGTGTGTGTTTGTCCGTGTGTGTGTGCGTCTGGGGGAACTCCTGCAAGGAGAAAGGATCGCCTACCCAGACCGAGCACGGAGTTCCGTGGTGGTTGGACGTCTTTGGCATTTCTCTTGGGCCTCCGAAAGCCTCGGAGCACTTCAGCCGAGACCTGCAAGGACCAACGACTACGACGAATCCTTCTTGGCTGACCGGAGCATTCTTATGCCCTTTCGGTGGCAACTCATAGGAGCCTCCCGTGCCATCTGACTGGCTCTTGCGATTCGACGCTGACCGACGCTCATCAACGCTAGTCGACGGCAGTCGACGCTAATCAACGTTAGACCGACGCACT